TTAAAGTTTTCCTGTGTCTTTTACTTTTGTAACATTTTCAAAAGCAATGGCTGCAAGTTTTTGTTTTTTTTTTTACTTTTCCATATCTTAGTTAATTTTTACAAGTGACTTATTTTCTATGCGCTGTTTTATTTTGGTAATGTGCAAAACAAGACTACCAATGATTCACTGGATTGCAGGGATGCTAAATTACGATACATACCTGCATATGTTAGTGTATCGTTTACTTGTATTTCCGCTGATGATTAACCTTAGCACTTATCGACCAGCTTGTTGTAACTTTGCTATACCAGATTAGAGATCTCCTGAGTCTTTTCTGTTTTGTTTATTGCAATTTCACTCATAGATTTTCACCTGTCACATACAGAGAAAACACGTAGGAGGAATAGTACACTACTGTATAAACATTTATAAATATACTAATGTTATGAATGGTGCAAACATGACATTAAAATAAAGATGGTTTACACGAACCCACTACTCGTTCAGTATGCCTGAAACAACGGTAAGGGGTGGCTCCTCGCTTATGAACCAATTCGCTTAGCGACCTTTTTGTAGGAACGGAAATCGATGAGCAGTGACTGTATTGTTCATTCTGTAGCTTTGTCCCCCTGTTATCTGGTTCTCTTGTTTTTGCCAAGTTCTCTCTCTGTTCTAGCGTATTGTTAAGGCAACATGGAGAGTAGGAAGAGGCAAGGGAACATAGCAAACTCATAATACAACACAGTAGCTTCTAACCTTGTTACATAATGACCAACTCAGGAACATAAATACACAAACCGAGCCGGGTAACGAAGCAGGAGGAGTGAGATGAAACAATTAACCAATCAGGTAGAACGCACAAGAATTGGTGCAAGAAACCAGTGAACAGGTGAAACTAATAATTGGATCAAGGAACTAAGTTAACCAGTATTGTACTGCCAGTGATCCTCGCAATGTTCAGGGCAATTATTCTAAAAGTGCCCCTGGCAGTTGTCAACTGGTTAACAAGTGGAAATCTCTAAAGGCTACTGGGAATATATATCTGAACTGGTCATCAAGCTCCACCCTTCTGCAGCTCTTAACTGTGAAGTTCTGGTGGGGACCCGTCAGAGCAAGCGCTGAGAGGACGTGTAGAGACGCAATGAAGCACTTCATGTACCCCAGCCGGACGACTGCAATGAGGATGATGGCAGAGGCACCGATGATCCAGCCATGTGCAACCAACTGCCACTAGGTATAAGTATGCATCCCACAATACAAAGCATGCACAAAATACAGGTTTAAATGCTCAGAAACTACACAGATAATGCATCAGCTCTCTTTGAGTTTCCTGCCTAAGCATCAGTTTTATTAAATCAGATACTGGTACTCACTGCTGACACGCCACCACCCTGGCCTCCTCAGCATCCTGCAACATAGGAGTGGATTATCACTACAGCACCACTAGTGTGTCAGTCCATCACATCACTGCAGTATTAACACCCAGCCAACCATATTAACAATGCTCATCATCAAGTGGTACACTGAGCAAAGGGCTGGATTCCCATAGTGGTATCGGCCCATTGACTTTATTGACAGCCTTTATAAACAGTTATACAGAAAAAGTTTAAATGTACATGTTTAAATGTAAATGATCTGATTTCTTTATAGACAGATATAAATGTGTATAATTATACCTGCTTCAAGATGACCATTGCATATGTAGGATGACTCTGGTCATCTGGCAATTCTATGTTCTCTGAATCTGAAATACAAAATTTTCTATCAGCTTTCAGTTGCCTCCTGGCTTTCCTTTCACTCAAATTTATATTTATGTCACATCTGTGCTTTTTTACTTGGAGACTTAAAAATTACTTTAAAGTCTTGTCAACACACAATTAGTATTCTTATTAATGTTTCGTACATTATAAATAAAATATACGTTTTTCTTAAGCAACTTCGTTGCTAACAATTTGACTCCTATACCTTCAAACTCGGCCCTTCTCCAAAGTCTCCGGACAAGGTGCACGGT